CACCGTGTCTTCTCCGGATCAGCTTGTTTTCTTACATGTTAACGGGTTTATTGGTGCAGTCTTCGACGAGCCCTCGCATGCATCCGTAAAATGCAAATAAAAAGGTGTTTCTCCCAAACAAACTGGTGGATTTGGATTTTGTTAGACTGTCACAGGAACAAAGGGACTGACTTGGAGCAAGTAAATAAATCAGGCCATCAAACTCAGTGTATTCAATGGAACAGACGTGTACACTCATCGGTTTATAATGCATCTAAAAACATACCTATTCGTGTATTCGTGTACACGTTTCTGTCTGTGCTCTTGTTATTTCTAAGGTGCAGTGGATCCCGGGGGATGAATGTCGAACTGCATAAATCAATAATTATATCAGTGCTGTTCCTGTACATAAAAAGCCTTTCAAAAGAAGACCTTATGATATGTTTACAGATAATAATAAAAATATTACAATGCGAATGGCCTGTTGCATTCCGTGCATATGGGATTCTCCAGAAAACTAAAATATTGTAGATACCGACTGTAAACCCCCCCCCCCCACCCCCTTACGATTAAAGGGTAATTTTTCGGCGCATAGTGTCGTTTTGTCCCGAATGCATCGATAGGCAGCGATGTATAACTAATGCATAAAGTGGAGTTGTTTTAGTGACAGACTTTCCACACAAGAAAAATGTGCAACAGCCTGTAAGAAATGAGAGCTAGTCTGGATCCCCAGGTCTCTCTATCTGTGACCTGCTGATACACAATCATTAAAAACATTTACAGAGTGCGGAATGTTCCCATCCAGCAGCTACTGCTGAAACCAGCAAATGATTGCCAGGTGCCCTCACTCAGATACCGAGGGAATGAATGAGTCTCTGCAATGGTTTTGCGGCGCTTGTGGAAGACCTTTACAGTAAATGCTCCGAACTGGAGTGACATGTTACACAAAAGGAACAGTCTTGCATGGAGATACTGAAAAGGATGCCACCACCTTCAGCGGTTTCTTCACTCGAATATCAGCGTCAGGCATTTCTCATGAAGCTCAAATAACACGTTCCCTTCTTACTGTATTTAACCTGTATATCAGACACTGTCTGATATATAGGTTAAATACATGTATATTCTGTAAAAGAATCCCTCTCCCCTGTTGCATTAAAAATACAAGTTTGTTTGTTTTTTAAAAGAAGACTTTTTGTTTACAGGAGATTGCATTTGTTTCGGTTTGAAGCTGAAATGGCTGAATGTAAATGTCCTTTAACTAAAATGCTCTCTATGGTCGAGATAAATTGTCACCGCGTGATGATGTCCCGCTGTCCCCGAAAGACGTGTAGAAAACATACCAGAAAGACTGCATCAAATACAAAATAAGGCAGCACAGCCGAAACAAGACAGGGACTGACCATCCTTCCTTCCTTCCACTCGCAGCTTACTCTGCGCAAAGAGAATATTTTGCAGTTAGATATACAGGCCGCTCATTGCAACACATGTAATGTATATTCAACTTAGCAGTGCTGCGTTTTAACGCATTATCGCAATGCACATTTGTACGTAGCCCTAACTGCATCGAAAGCGTGTGTCACATAACGTCTGCAAGCTGTTATCACTAAGCAATTTAAGGATAAACTCCCTCAAGAAACCAGGTCCATCTTGAGAACTGTACACACACCATGTGAACACTGAAAACCCCAGCCCCCGTTTAAACCCGATTTAAAGGAAATTCTACGGTGCAATCATTTGAAACGTTACCATCTTCACAGGCGGGAGTTTTACTAGTAAATCCCACGAATTTAAAGAGTTGCCCTTTGGAATCAGTGTCTCTTGCAGCCAAGAAAATCCGTTCAAACGATCTTCCTTTAAACCGAGTTGATGGAGCGCAGGTTGCAAGAAGAGGAATGGGAGTAAAGGCAGAGAGAGGACGAGAGAATTATGCAGGGCAATTCTTGGCTGTACAAATAGCCCGAGGCAGCACAAAAAAAGATCATTTGCCGGTCCTCGTGTGTGGAACATGCCACTCGTGAACATATCAGCTCCACCTGCAGCGACAGATAGAAATACAATGCATCACATTGTACCCAAATAAATAGTCACCTCGCAAACACACCAGCGATCAACGAGAAGGTACATTTATAGCCTTTCATTAATCCATTAGAAACTAGGTCTGCGTGTATATATATTATATATATATATAATAATATATATATATATAATATAATATATAATATATAATATATATATTATATATATATCATGATTTGCAATGCGTGGAGGCGATTTACATTCTTATTTCCCGTATCCTTATTTGTATACCCATCACTTTTTTTCTAGATTATCGGGTGCATTTGCTGGCATAGTGTAACTATACTTTTTTTTAAAAAAAGATTGTCATCATGTTTCGAACGATATAGTTACCAGTGTACCTGACGGAGTGCATTGCATGTGTGCCGGGCTATAAATTAACACAATAAACACACGGGCAGAGCCCGATTGCACAATGCATTCAACTCGCGAAAACGGTGTTATTCTAAAAAAAAAGTTTAAAATGATACAAAAGCAAAAAAATGTTATTACTAATTTGGACGTGAGAGTTAATAAAGCTCCCAGGTGGACAAGGAGCGTTCACCGCACGGTTGTAGTTTCTTTAGATGTAATTTATAAAACATCATGATTTCCAATTGTTATCGTTGTTTTTTTTTCAGATTGTTGTAAGAAATTAAGGCTTTCGTTTTGCGACGCACAGTTCTTGGTATCGTGTTTCAAATAATATATTTTCTCACGCCAAAGAAGTACTCGTTTGATTTACTGGTTAGTGCTCAGGTAGGGGGCTCTCAACTGAATAAATTCACACGTGCAAACTCGCACTGTTGTATAATAGAGATCCAACTTCAGCGACTTGGAAAACGTGTAGTGTTCGCGATACTGTTTGGGCATTGGGAGAGCTTTGTAACTCTCTCGCAGGAAAAAAAATTCTAAATTAAATTAAGGCTTGAGATCGAAAGATCGAAACGCTGGCGTTCAACGAACTCTTAAAGAGGGGCTGAATTGCAAACAGTTTGTGGGGAAGGGGATGCGAGACGTGTCATGAACACATCAAGAATCTGGGAATCTGGGAATCACACTCTCACCCCACAGCCGTTTGGCGGAACGGTGCAAAGACCAAATCTGCTTCACACATCTGTAAATGCACTCACACCTCATGGTTTCAGAAAAAGGCTCTAATTAAATTAAGACTGAGCAGCCACTTGATTGCAAAGCCCGTGCCGGGCTGTTCAATGGAGTAAATAATCCGTTCAATATTCCATCTGTTTAAAACATTCATGTTGCGGTCCGAACTATTTTAAGTTCTTAGGGTCGTGCCGACTCTGCAGTAGAGTTTAAGGATAACTTTTAAAGTTTCTAATGAATTCTCCTGCTCTGCTCGGGCTGCAATCCCTGGAGAGTCAGTAGTCCAGACCTATTTTACACTTCAGTGGGCAGCCACTGATTATCATTGCACACTTTAAAATCCCTCAATTGCGGGGCCCACAAAGCGCTTGGCTGCCGAATTCGTTCTTCTTTTTACATATACAGTACATAAAAAAAAGTCCAATTTTTCCAAATGAAAACGTACAAAGCTGGGGTGGGTGGTGCAGTGTGGGGGTGGGGGGAATCAACCAGTTACTCTAACTAATTGACCGCGTCTATTTCCCCCCCAAAAAAACAGGAATGCAAACTATACCAACAGAGGCTGAAAAGATTTGTTTTAACACACACACACACACACACATGCACGCGTCCGGAATTTCCTTTTAAATCTCCCCCAAAAACTTCTAAAGTTTTGCTCGGAGCTCCTGCACACCCCCCCGTTTTGGTTTGTTTATTTTCTTGGGACTAACACCACGCACACGTTTCTCGTGCCCCGTCGTGGAATTGACAGAAGGCTGACACACAGGACCGTTGAACGTGTTTTTTTTATGTTTTTGTTTTTCGCAATGCTGTCGTGAAAGGTAGAAATGATGTTTGGGGTTTATTTTTTGTCACCTTACAGATTCAGCTTCTGCGGGTGAGTGACCGATCTCAGAGCAGTGGCTGCAAACGAGGACATCTTTTACCATTGGAAAGTCGAGGTGTGTGCATGGGGAGGGAGGGGGGGGGGAGGGGAGGTTGAGCAAAAAAAAAGTGGAGGGGTGGAGGAGGGGAGGGGGTTGCATTACCTTTTTAAATGCTGTGTTTTTGGGGGGCTGGAATGGGGGCTGGGATATCAAGTGGGGTGGGGCAATGAGACGCCACCTAGGTTCTGGGATGTGAGTGTGTGTGTGTATGTGTGTGTGTGTGTGGCCAAAACGGCAGCAACTTGCTTTTCCATTGAGGGCGGCAGCTCCTTCAATTGGACGCTTTCACCTCGGGGAGGGGCTCCCGCTTGAGAGAAAAAAAAAACCAACTGCGTAAAAGTCTTATCAAGTGACGGATGCTCAAAGTTCAGAAGTTTTCCAATTCACTCCGCCACCCCGCGGGGGGAGACAGAGAGAGAGAGACAGACACACACACACAGAGTGAGTGAGTGAGTGTGAGTGAGTGACTGTGAGAGAGACACACACACACACACACACAGTGAGTGTGGGTGAGTGAGTGAGAGACTGAGAGAGAGACACACACACGGAGTGAGAGTGAGTGAGTGAGACTGAGAGAGAGAGAGAGAGAGAAAGAGATACACACACGCACAGAGTGAGTGAGTGAGTGAGAGTGAGTGAGTGAGTGAGAGTGAGTGAGTCAGAGTGAGAGAGAGAGAAAGGACAGAGTCAGAGAGAGAGAAAAAAAATTGGGGTGGGGGGGGGGAAATATTTGTTTCTTGGGGGAGGGTGGGGGGGGGGTTAATCCGGGAGCTAAAACCTCGGCGCAACTTCGGAAAAGTTTGGGATTGCTTTATTTTCCCGTCGAGAGAGAGGGAGACAGAGAGGGAGAGAGGGAGAGAGAGTGTGTGCGGTGTGTTTCCCCCCACCGCCCCCCGTCCCCCCCACCCCCCACACCCCCACCCCCGTGGAGAAAGTCGGCGTTGAGAAAGCAGCGCACGTTGTTTCGGGAGTGGCAGCGATGCAGGCTCGCTACTCCGTGTCCAGCCCCAACTCCCTGGGAGTTGTGCCTTACATCGGCGACCAGAATTACTACCGAGCCGGACCCGGTTACGCGGGGATCCCGCCCCCGATGACCATGTACTCGCACCCGGCGCACGAACAGTACGCCGCCAACATGGCCAGATCCTACGGCCACTACGCGCCCCAGCCCCAGCCGAAGGACATGGTGAAGCCCCCTTACAGCTACATCGCCCTCATCACGATGGCCATCCAGAACGCCCCGGACAAGAAGATCACCCTCAACGGGATCTACCAGTTTATCATGGAGAGGTTCCCGTTCTACCGGGAGAACAAGCAGGGCTGGCAGAACAGCATCCGCCACAACCTGTCCCTCAACGAGTGCTTCGTCAAGGTGCCCCGGGACGACAAGAAACCGGGCAAAGGCAGCTACTGGACCCTGGATCCCGACTCCTACAACATGTTCGAGAACGGCAGCTTCCTGAGGAGGAGGAGGCGCTTCAAGAAGAAGGACGCCATCCGGGAGAAGGAGGAGAGGGAACGGCAGCCCAAGGACTCCCAGCCCAGGCAGCAGGCGCCCGACGCCGGGAAAAGCAGCCCCTCGCAGCCCATGAGGATCCGGGAGATCAAGACGGAGAACGGCTCGTCCTCGCCCCCCCCCGGGCCCGCCTCCCCCTCCCTGAACATGGTGCCCAAGATCGAGAGCCCGGACACCAGCAGCATGTCCAGCGCCAGCCCTCACAGCATCCCATCCAACAGGTCCATGAGCCTGGACAACCCAGAGCAGCAGCAGCAGCAGCACCAGCACCAGCAGCACCAGCAGCAGCACCAGCAGCACCAGCACCAGGCCGCTGCTCAGGGCTTCACCGTGGATAACATCATCACGTCTCTGAGGGGGTCGCCCCACGGCAACAGTGACCTCGGCGCCAGCCTGGCCGCCGCCTCCTCCAGGACAGGCATCGCTCCTGCCCTGCCGCACGGTTACCCTTCCAGTCAGCCGTCCATGTACAACCCACCCTGCGGGGGCCAGAACATGACCTCCAGCGGCGGCGGCGGCGGAGGAGGAGGAGGAGGAGGCGGAGGAGTAGGAGGAGGAGGCGGCGGCGGCAGCAGCAGCAACGCGGGGACTTACCACTGCAACATGCAGGCGATGAGCCTCTACGCCGGGGACAGGGCGCCCCACATGCCGACCACCAGCGGCGCAGCGGACGAGACTTTACCAGATTACGCCATCCCCACCGCCGCCGCCGCCGCCGCCACCGCCGCCGCCGCCGCCCCGTCCTTAACTCACAGCCTGAGCAACGGCCAGGAAGGAGCCGGGGGGGGTCGGATGGCCTACTGGTACCTGAACCAGACCGGCGACCTGGGTCACTACGCGGGGCAGCAGCAGAACTTCCACTCGGTGCGAGAGACGTTTGAGTCGCAGAGGATCGGCCTCGGCCACTCGGCCGTCAGTTCTGCACATGTCAATGGGAATAGCAGCTGCCAAATGTCCTTTGCCTCGGCTCAGCCACTTTACCGCACCTCAGGTTCGTTTGTCTACGACTGCAGCAAGTACTGACACAACGCGTTTACAAACTCTTTTTTTCCCCCCCCCCTCGAGTCCTTTTCAGTACACCAGCAACAACACGCCACGTTTCTGTGTACATATATATATACACACACACGCGCGCACACACACACACACATATGCATATATATGTACATATATATTTTATATTGCACATGTGTGTGTGTGTGTGTGTGTGTGTATCTATATATATATATACGCGCGACAAACCAATCCAATCTGAAATTTGGCTAAAAGGACAGCGTTGCTCCAAGTGATCCGTAAGTTGCTTTATTGCAAGAGAGAGAGACGAGGTGTTTAAAATATTACAAAGTATGTGTCAAATCTATTAAAAGTTCCGCGCAAGCTTACCTGGACTTGTTATACACACGTAAATGTCATATAGTAATTTATTTTAAGTTGTAGTAGGATATCCTTTTTATAAATATGGACCAAACACGTGAAAAGTGTTTCAGAAATTACTTTAAGCTCCCTCCAATGTTTTTATTTCTCGATGTTACATCTTCCATTATAAAAAAAAAGGGAAACTGTATTACGCGATTTTCTTTTTTCTCCTTTTGTTGAACCTATTCTAAAGGCATTGCATTGTTTGTCTATAAATAAATTACAGTTCGATTCGAGTGCTAACCACGTCTGTTGTAAACTAAAGTCTTGGTGTTTTAACTTCTCTCGTTTAAACGTCTTGGGGGGTTTAGTCAGACGCTAACAGTTGGAAAGACATTGAACAAATAATGCATCCACACCAAATCATTTTTATTTATTTAGTTTGATTTTATTTGGCTTAATGCGGCGTATCAATCGGGTCAATCCCGTCGTTGGTGTCGATGACTTTATATCCATATAGAAGATATATATATATATATATTTATCCGCTGGATCCGGAGCGAATCCCATATCTTTGCACATATCCTCAGCACAGGCTGACATTTCGGATAATACCGTCCCTTATCCGCTCCACTATCTAAAGACAACAATTAGACAATAATTACCATCGCTTACTTACTTGATTGCTGCCAAATTGCGGAGTCCAGGCGGTCATTTAAAGGCACACAATCACCTTTGGATTGTTTTTTTTTATTTTTTAAATATATATATATTAAAAAAGAAAACTAATACAATCAAACGTGCCTGGGAAGAAAAAAACTCTTTTAAAGAACAAGCCAAGGCCCAATAAAGATATAGATATAATGTTAAAGAGGTTCAGAGAGATTCCCAGTCACATTGCTGGGTGAGGCCGGTGTATAGAGTACAGACGGCTGATTTTTACTCAATTTCTCAAAGAACTCCTGTGACCAAAATGAAAGACTAATGTACTTTGCGGTGTTGTTCAGATTAGATCTGGCCTGTTTATCCGTGGTGGGAAACTCTGTTTAAAAAAAAAAGTACTCATCTATTTGTAGGCGCAGCATTGATTTCTATTTTACTTTTTTTTAAAACAGAAAGACAGAAATAAATAGATTTTTTCTGCTAAGAGCCGCAAAATGTTTCCACTCCTGATTTCCTAAGCAGACATCGCGCAAATGATCGCGTTGTAAATTAATATATTTAACGTTTATTGTTTGTATATATATTTTTTGTAAAGCTTACGATTTAAGTTCTTATTTTAAACGTGACCAACTCAGTTCGATTCTAATGTGATGGTTTATCAGAGGGATAGAGAAACAGCCACAGCGTTAGGGTTTCTGCACTCCCTGTGCCGAAACTTCACCAAATAGACATTTGTCCTTCAGTCAAACTCGCTTTTACCGAAAAAAAACGTAAAACCCGATCAATTCGCTTTTTTTGTTGGCCGTCCCGAAGTTGATTCGAATGAAGAGGGATTTCCTTTTAAAAAAAACTTTACAACAGTATATATATATATATATATTTGGACATAGATTGGAATATCGCACTTCAGAGGCAATTTGGGTAGACATGTACCGAGGGGGGGGGGGGAGAGGGACTTCAACGTTCACACTTCTGCTGTCGCAAAGACACTTAAAGAGCTCGGTCTAAAGGCTGGGATACATAGCCCTCTGTACTGATTGATAGTGTGGTTGGTTTTGTCTCTTTTTTTTTTGCTCATTTTGAAACGCAGTCAGGTAGGCCTGGACACCAGAGTCCCTCTCTAACCACACCAACCTGCCTGCGCCTTTTATGGTTCCGCAGAAACAAATCTGTAACTTATAAAATTCAATTACTGCCTGCAAAAGACCACGCAGAATCAGAAAGCAGCAGCCTAAACAACAATAAAATCACGACAGGTATTTTAAACGCAGCCAAGCCATGAAGTCGAGCAAAGCGGTGCTGCTTGCCAATAAGTGCATTTTGTATTTAAAAAATAATCCCATGTGTTTGTCTGGATTCACAATAGTATGCGTAGGAAAACAGGCAAGTAGTATTACTGTGTGATTTTCGAAAAACGTATCTAGATTTTTTTTAAATTCTGAAATAAATAGGGCAGCCCATTACAATATAACAAATAGGCCTTCGAAACTGTACTCCAGAGCATTAGCAACATCAAGATTTATTGAGTGCATATTATGCTTTATTAGGGGCCGTTGACTGGACAGTTAAAGAAGAAACCCTCAAAGATAAATCCCAAATCTGGCGAAACGTACTGAATCAAACTGATGTAAAGAATACTGGTTCCAGTGTTATTGAGGAGTAATGTAATCCGCTGGTGGGATCTTTATTATAATTGAATGCTGATGTTTTTTTTAAAAAAAGAGATTTTTTAATTAAAATATTCTGTAATTAATTACCTTTTCATGGCAATTAATTTTTGTGAATTCAATTCGGATCACTGGTCGGAGCCTGGGCAGCGCTGAATAACTTGTAAGCGTTGAACTGACCCGATCCTATTAAGTCGCTGACCCGCTCTGGTTATTAACTGTTTACTCACCAATTCCTCTACGGTAAAGTTTGTTTTGAATACACACGTGTGTTTTGGGGAATGAAGGGATAGACGTAGAGATGAAGGAGTTTTCATTCGTGGCAAACTTCAGGTGATCGTCCACGAGCCATACACCAACCAGTATTATGTGAACCAGGGAGAGAAAAACACACAGCTGCATGGTTCATCTTGTCCACTATTTTGCTTGATGGTACATTATTATATTTTCCGTAGTAATATTCGACACACACGACTTTCAAATGCGAGAAAAAGTATGTCCAATATATCCATTTAAACATACGTCTATTGGTACCTAATGTCTAAGGCGTCCTCGGGAGATTACCTAAACAGACAGAACTCTTCAACATGTAGGAGAGCGATCTTCTAATTTACTGGGAAAAATTTTCCCTGGGCTTTTACTCCAGATCACTGTTAGATTCGCGAATTTCTGAATGACCCTCGGTCTGTTTCACAGGTCTAAAGTATCGTTTAATTCAATAGAATCTACTGTCAGCGTTTTGACGACGCTCAATAAAATGCCCCAGTCTTGCTTTTTGGTGGCAAGTTGACTTTACAAAAACAAATCCACTCGGTTTTTTTTAATTTCACATTTTATTCGAAAATGGGAGTGTGGAATTAGCTATCGGTTTCAAACTATGAGTACTAAATCTACAAAAAAAAATCCCGTTCTATCCCCTCTATGAATTATAGGGCATGAAATTAACAGGGCAATGTCTGGTCGTGTTGAGTTAATGCAAAATCAATAATCAATCGAATTGTATTGGAGATGGGGTGGTGGGGGGACTATTATCATTGTAAACTAGAAACAGTTTCTGAAATATGCCAGGAGCCTTAAATGAAGTTGAAACATGTGAAGATGAAGGGAAGTGGATTTGAGTGGTCAGCGTGGAGACGGCTTATCTGTAGTGCGAAATGCTGGTGGTTTTTATTCCAAGAGCACAAGCGCATTAGGACGCTTGACAGCAAACCGCAACTGGAAAACAAAGACGTTTCTTGCTAGAAACAGACGAGAGAATAATATATATATATATTTTGGCAAGCTGCAAACAGGTAGAAAAATAATGCGCAGAAAGTTGCACTCAATACAGAATGAGGCTTCATAGTTTGTGGCTTTTTTTTCCCTGAAGCGCATTAACTGAATTGAAATAGATAAAGCTTCAACGCCGGAAAATCCTTGCGATGGCGAACGACATGTGGAATGCGATCGGGTGTTTCTTTCTAAAAAAAAATTAACGTTATCAGACTTCTTTTTTTTCGCCATAACTTGACTTTATGAATACAGTCGAGAAGTCGGGACTATGTTACTTGCCTAGATTTTAAAAAAATGCAACATGCAGTGAGTAATTCATGTGGTGGAGTTTGATATTAGCTGTTCGGGCAATATGAGGAGCGATGTGAGATTAGGGTGTGTAATGTGGCCACCTGTTTGTAATGGCATCAGCGTTAAAAAATCCGCAGAACTGTATAAGAATGTAATATAATTTAGAGTTAGGAGGTCCATACACTGGATAGCCAAGTCGCATATAGCATTGGCAAATTCCTGACTCTCTTTTGATATATGCAAGTTGTGCCCAATTCTATCAGTTTTGCTCCTTTCATAGTTATTGATGGTGTGGCCAGGCTCTGTCAAACCCAGGTCTGCCTATATCAACGTCTCAATTAACAAAGGGGCAAAGCCAGGCAAAAATTGTAGATGAAAGACTGGCAGACATGACAGACAGATAAACAGGGTCAAGGCCAGTAAGCTTGATAGCAATTCCTAAATCCATTGACCAACGAATTCAATAACAAGGTGAAGCTTGGGATCACAGCCAATTTGAGAATTGGAGATTTTATTATATACCACTGCTGCCCCTAATTTATTCTATTTAAACAGCAGGTTTAATATAACATATTGTATAAAACGATATATTATGCACATATATATATACACACACACACACGTCAATAGATCCCATTTTGTACGCATTGTATAAGACTCAAACTATAGTACCTACTTTTTTATGATTAACATTGTTCGTGCCTGAATACATTGGATTCATATCTGTCCCAAACGCCCAAACAAATGGATTAAGTGTGAGGGAATTTGACGGTTAAGATGCTTTGTGGTGCAATATTTGTTTGGGCTGTATCGTCCTCTTTAATCTTCAAACGGCCGATGGGAAACCCTCCTCTCCAGAAGTTCCAGATTGAAGAAATGGAAATGTCCGGCAATGCAGACAAATTTATTTTATTAAAAACGAAACATTCCGTACTTTTGCTACAACTTAATATGTGTAGGAAACAGTCAAAAGGACGAAAACAAGAAACAATTATTTGAACTAGGGACAGTGCGCTGTCGCTGCTACCTGTGTTTTATTGGATGCTAGGTTTATAGCAAGGCCAGTCCATATTTAATCAGGACATTTAACCAGCGCTGGAAACAGGCTATTTAATGAATAACTACTGTAATATGTAAAGTCCAGAGCTTAAAAACTGAAACAGTAAATGAGAGTGATACACAATAGGATATTAGCAACCAGTTACTTCTAACATGCCCAATATGTAGATATTTGTAAGTCTCTTTGCACTGACAATGTTGAACAAAATTAATACTAAGGGCAAATGTTATAGGACAATTTATTATATACTGCAATAAGCAGTACGTTATGTTTTATTAGCATATTTACATACAAAACCAGGCATTGCACTTGAAACCAATTACTTGTAAAAAGCCTTTTGAGGCTCCAAGGCGCTATAAAAATGCAAGTTCTTTCTCAATCTTATTTAACCAAGTTTCAGTTTGTTCGAGAAACGTAGTCGGTACAAAATAAAATATTCTTGATTTATGCGGATCTGAGTTCTTAGTACATTTTTGTCCGTCCCTCTTTACTGCGCGTACATAATCCTAGTTCGATCGCTCTCTTCATTTATTCTCGAGGTTTATACAAGAGAGAAAAGGAGGCAGTTTGCGTTTTTATATGCATGCATTCATATGCGCACATTGTGTAAATATATAAATGTATATAAGTGCATGTGTACATCTAGAACTGGAGTTTCCAACTTTAATTATAAAACCATTAATTCTCCCCAGTCTAATAAACAAACGTCGCGTTAGTAACAAGATTGATTGCGTACATGCAACACAATCTGACTGGTCCAGGAAGGAATAAAATTCAATCAGTGCGCGGAATCATTTTTCATTAGACGGAAAAGCACAGAGCGAAATGAAACCAGAGGTCAGTGCAGAGGATGTCAGTCTAACAACCCCACAACCAAATGAGAGCAACAGGGGCCTTGCACCGGGCCACTCTGTCTCCCTCTGAAAAACAAAAAAGCAATCGTTGCATTTTTTTAAAAAAAAAAGAAATCTTTACAATAAATCCTGTCGTCTTTCACTTGGATTACAATGTTCAAATGTTAAACCGTTGCTGAGGTTCACTCCCCCATTTGCCATAGACACAGGAAAAGTTTGTACAAATTTTACTCCCCTCCTAGTAATGTATCTTAGAGTTGCCTTTGACTTTTTTTATTTAGAATTGGCTGCATTCCCGAAATCAGGACTGTATACTTTTTAAAAAATATATATATATTTAAACATAAAGTCGCGAAAACGGTTTGAGTATAAATTGCAGCGATATCGTTATCTGGCATTTGGGATCCCATTTCTTTACAAATGTCTGGAGTGGAGCTTGGCAATGGCACAGCCCCCCACCCCCCCCCCCCCCCCCACCACCCCCTCTTTAGCTTTGCGACGTGTAAGTAAGTTGCAATAACTGAATTGCATGATTTGATTGAAACGAAAGCGCCTGAGTGAGTATCAGCTGTACCCACACGCACTGAGGTCGGTATTCCGCATTGCCTTAAGACTGGAAACGACCGCGTGAGTTTGATTTCATTTCATACTTGTTTTCAGTGAGAAGGATTTCTTTACTTTCGATTTTGCCTGGTCCATCCACACCCCCCCCCCCCCCACCCACCCCCCTTCCTTCTAGTTACCCCCACCCCACCCCCTCCCTCCACCCTCTCTTGCTTTTTACTTTCACTCCCGTTGTAACCCAAACGTCAGAATAAACTCACACTGGAAAGCTGGAGGTCACAGAATGATTATGGGGTTGGGTGGCCGACATTTTTTTCCCTAAATAAACACAGCTTGATTCAACATGGGTGGGCAAACGGGGCAATTTTGACAAATACGTCAGAGCGGGGAGGGTGGGTGTGGGGGGGGAGTGGGGGGGAGATGTGGGGGTGGGCAGTGGAGGCAGAGACAGAGTGAAAAGAAAACAGGAGCAGAGGGAGGGCACCTGGGGCTTCACAAAAACTGACTGTTACAGTCATCTTGACGATCAGTGAAAGGATGAGGTGGGAATGCAAGTTGAGAAACGTACAAGGCATAGCCACGAATATACCTAACTCTGCCTGATTTCTATTTTTTGTTGGGGAGGGGGAGGTCGGGGGGCGGGGGATGCTGAGGTGAGGTATCTAACTAAATTCAGAGCACGATCTCCATCTCCCAAAAGTCATTTCCAGCCATTTCAGGACTCTATATGTGACTCATTTTAAACCACTTTTTTTTCTCTTTATTCCCAATTGTAGGTAAGGGGGTAGGTGGGGGTGGGGGCGTACGCAAATATATATTTTTAAATGAAAGTACCAAAAATCGTGTCAAATTTAATAATCCTTATATAATAATAATAATAATATCAGGGGAAAAAAATGAAAACAAATGGCATTTAACTTCTGTGTTGGATGGTTAGCAAACGGTTGCAAATTTCACTTGATCGCATTTGTGACTCATATCATTCATTTACAATGAACCAAATGCTGAAAAAGGTATTTTGAAAAAAAAGCTAAACAAATCGTCCAGAAGCAGATTTCATTCCACTTGCCCACCGTGTTCTTACTGTGCTACTGTAAAAAAAAAATTCGAGGCGAAAATATAAACTTTGAAGGCGCACTCATTTCCCTTTGCTTGGCCTCCCCTGGTCGTCTGGGCTCAAGATGTATTTCGACTCGAGCACAAACTCCACCTTCACCTCACGCTCTCATCGTGTTTTTTTCCCCCCACACTCCCTCCCTCCCTCCCTCCCTCCCTCCCTGTCCTTATCTTCGCCGCGTTCAATTTCGCGTGTCGACAAGAAGACACAAAAAAAAACAGTCGCTCGTTTGCAGATCCCTTTCCAACCACTCACTCACTCACTCACTCACTCTCCAAAATAAAAGACGAACAGCCCTATCGATTGCTGCCCCTCTGGTGCGGGATAAGTCCATCGCTGGGGGGGGGGCAAAGGCAAAGTCAAAACCTTGCGAGGCATTCTGACCACGTTAATTCCCGCAGGTCTGGACTGTCTGTGCCGAGCGATGTGTCCTGTGTCACAGTCCTACCTTGGCTTCCCCTGACCCGTGGAAGGGCTTTCGGTGTTCCCGGAGGCATCGCGTCGCCAACACCATGATCTCATTGGGAAGGCCGGATACCCCAGAGAGGCCACGCCAGCAGTGCGCTCACTGGCCATTTCGGCGGCTTTAAGCGGTGGGAATCCGTCGTCCTGGTGCAGTTAAAGGCCGCCGGAGGGTGTCCCCATCCCTTGCCGATTGCTGGCCTGCGGACCACATAAAATAGCGGCGCCATTGCACGTTCCCTCCAGGTCCCATTTCATCCAGTTTTCCTTCTTTTACACGTAAACAAGATTTTTTTTTTAATCCCCGCGCCGCGCGTTAAAAAAAAAAGCAAGCCTTGTTTTTGGGGTGATGGAGTGGCGATTTCCTTTTGACTACAGCGCTGGGAGCAGTGGGGAAGTGTGAGCCGCTCTGACTCATTGAGTCTCACTTAATGCAGTCTGTGGCTGTTTGCGGCCACTCGCACACAACCTTCCTTCCACCTCTGAAATCCTGCAGAAACCACCGCGACGCTTTCTCGTTTTACTTATTTTTCCACCGGGCCAGGGAGGGAGGACAAATAAGACATTAAATCCGCGTTGCTTACCAGCTCTTTTGAGATGCTCTCGCTGTCGCACTGACCTTTTGGTTAGCTGCCTTTAAAGAATACGCTCCCACATTCGGTTGACTTGTAACGAAGGTTGCGTTAAATGCTTGCAAACAGCCCACGATTTTCATTAACCCCGAAGCAGCTTGCACAGCATTCATCATTGCGTGTACAATTGTGATTTGGGTGGTGGGGGGCGGTTGTAAGGGGTCTTTGCAGGTAAACGTTCAAGATCAATGGTTTAAGCGGGCTTCTCGTTGTTTTATGTGATGATCGATGGGAAGGAAAGCTGAATTTACAAACTGTACCTGCGCTAACAATCGTCTAAACTTTCTAACCTAACTGCAGTGCAGAATCAACAGATTTACCATAACGTTGAAAAATAGCAGTCACCACTGTGTATTGTCTGCTCAGCCCTGTGAGGATTGCAGTAGCAGCTCTGTACTCTGTCAACGGTGCACGATTTCAAGTGCTCATTTCCTTGCCAATGGACTGCCAATAGAGAGAGACCTGCAGCTGATCTGTCCTCTGTCGCCGTGGTACTTCTGTATCCAGCACTCAACTTTCGCACAATATTACACTGCATTTCAAACAAACTAATGGGAGCTTTAATAGAAATTAGCGAAACCATTTAATCCTTAAGTACAAGTGTAGCAATCCAAAGGTGCCCCAAAATATGCTTTTATTTTATTTTCCCAAGTGTCTGTGCAAAACGAGTGCGTATTGATGAACCTTTTACTCATAATTAGCTTATTGTTTTACGCCGTTTACAGAATGCTTTAAAGACACACTGTGTAGGTTGGATTTCACACACGAAGATCGGTGGCTGGAGTGGTTTGGTCGGCCGCTAGTTCCAGACTTGCATCTGCAGCAGAAATGCTCTTCAGATGCTCTATTAACCTGATTTCCTTTAGGAAGCATCGTCAGTGCCCGTGGAGAGACGGCAAGAGAGCGGTGTGAGAATGAGAGGTTACCAAGGAATGAAACTTCACTGTAACACCTGGGCAGACTGAATACATTAAAGAGACAATTCCTTTTGAAATCGCAGTCTGCACTTAATAACTGGTCTACCCAGACAAGTATTATTTCAGCGCCCCGGATACCTTCTTATAAACATTTGCAGCACTAATAAAATGTCTTCAAAGGAAAGAAATGGCATTTTTTTTATTTGTTGAGAGAGGTATTGCCTCTTCTCCTGTTAGAAAATTGTTTCGTGTTTTTTCCCCCCCTCCAAGAAACCGGTTGGTATATTGGAAAAGCTCCTGGAGGTTGAATAACAATTATTATTCTCTTTAATACGGACACGCGGTAAAATTGGCAGTACAGTGGTTTTAATAATAAAAATAATAATTCTTGCATTTGATATATCCCTTATCACGTCGTTGAGATGGAATATATTGTAAAGTGGATTGACTGTGGATTTTGTGGGCGAAACTTTTTTTTAGTGAAGTTAGGGAATTAAAATGCATTTACTAAAATCACAAACTGACTTGTTTTAATGCAAGTATACCTTCATAATTAAACGGGAATATTCTTGCAAATGTTATGGAGAACGAATCAACCTCGTCAAGCGCACCAGACGATTGATTGATACTGTATTTAAACTCAAGCTAGCGTTTTAGTTCAGTAAAAGTATCAATTTATCCGCAAATAAAGGAATAAACAAGCACACAAAAGGCAAGTTAAGGATCTTTTGTCTCAACGTTTAGTTTGGATATGTAATTAGCACCAATTTACAGGGCAAGTAATTAACAACACACAGACAAACATTTGTCCATTTAAATATGACATTTGATAATATTTAAGTATAACTTCAGATCCTATTAGCTATGTTACTTGCACAAGTCAGCTGGTAAACTGTAATTTCTCCTTATTTCCCCGCAGCGCTATATAACAGCGCACACAGATCAACTCTACAGAGATTGCAGCGAGCAGCACCTAACAGCGATATTTAATACTAATATTCAGTAGCGTGGTTTTGCCACCTACATTTCCAGATAGATCACAGTGCAAGCTTAATTGAATTTACAACGTGCAATAAAAATATTTGTGGGATATTTATTCTCCTCTCGGTTTCTTTTAATGACGGGTAATTGTTCAGCGAATACAAAGCGCACTTTTGCAGAAACACACAATCTGAGCTGAAATATGAAAGGACGATTGAAACAGTATACGTTTCGCATGAATGCTGTTGCAAGCTGAAATTCTCTGGACCCACACGGGGATTGGAAACAGAGGAGCTCATGTGAGAACAAAAATCACCAACTGCTTTCAAGTTAATTGCATAAATTGGCCAGGGCGGTGTCATTTTTTTTTGTGTGTGTGTGTGTGGGGGGGGGGCTGGTGTTAGTTGGACGTGTCTAACATTCCGGGGTCTCACTAGATATAGGAAAAGGTGAAGCAAGGATAGTTGCTGGAAATCTCGGGGAAGTTCAACAAGGACCTGTTGGTTGCCACCTGAACTTGTGGAAAGTTCACTGATATAAAGGCAGTCATCCCAATGCAACCTGCAAAGGCAACCCACCCCCTCCTCTCTCTCACTCACACACACACACACACACACACACACACACACAGTTAACGTGTGTCCAGTTCACTTGTTATTATTACGCCAGGAAGCGGGAACGTTTTCTATTTATTTGCAGATCGTGTGTCTGTCTGTCTCGGGGTGTTTTCCCCCTCTCTCACTTGTGAAAGAAACCACACCTCGCCTCAGCACAGCCACAAACGCAACTGAGCGAGTTTGGCAAGAAGTGAAACAGGGAATGAATCTGCCTTGCACCTGCAATTGAGAAATAGTTAAGCGGCCTCACCTACATGACTCTAAGGTATACCGATATGTAGTCATATATATATATATATATATATATTAATCACAGAAAGAGGCGACATATTTTACTCGATCATATTTTTCTCTCTCTCTGTCTCGTCACAGCAGTGCAAACGATGTTTGAAAACCACCCCATCCCGATACATGTTTCCTGAACGTGAACACCTCTCGATTTTTTAAACGCTCTTTTAAACTACAGTGATTTAAGTAACAGTGAATGATGGTCTCTGGTCTGTGAACGCGAGGCCAATTAATGTTCTCCACCACAAACGTGCAGCTCGTATCCAATGCCCCCTTCTTATTCCAGCCTCTTTTTTTTCGAGAGAACAATCCATTTTCGGTGAATGGCACCCAAAATGAGGGGTTTCTTACCGCCTTTTCACGAGTTTGAAAACCGTCCCAATATCCAACACAAGTTCCACTCAGTAGTGCAGCGATTTTAAGAATATTTCCGGGTCATTTATTAAGATTGAAATAACAAATATTGAATTAAGGAACATTAACAATCCTTGAAAAGGACATTCGATCTGAAATGTGTGTGTGTGTGTATAAGTACATTAAAGTGTATGCAATACCCTTATTGCTGATTTGGGTGCAAAGTTAATATATAGCAGTTAATTGGCGTGTTTTCACGACCCTGGAACAGCGACTTTCAAATGAACGAATGTCTGATAATATACATAACACGTCTGGAGCTGCCGAGGCTTTTCTGCAGACAGAGCTGTCCTTTTGGTGTTCGTTGTAAACAGTGCGCATTGGGTGTGTCCGTTGGGTGTTTTGGGGATAAATAAATTAGAACCGAATACACTAACCGCTAACGAAAGCACAAGCCGCAGAAAATGCAGTCACAATGTGCACGGGATAAGGGGAAGGTCGGAATAGAAAGTGCCTGAAAAAAACACACACACACACACACACACACACAGAATAACAAATGTATTCTCTGCGGACAAGGCTTCCTTTCACCAGTTGAGGGCAACTGTGGTCAGGCAGAATTTGAGGCAGGTTCGATTTTCCATGGAAGTAGGGGCACAGTGCACAAAACCAAGGAGAGGCTCAACGTGCTTTTTTTTTGTTGCTGGGGGGAAAAAAAAACGACGCCTGCGACATTATATTTATGCATATCGAAATGCTGGACAATCTAACGCATAAATAGATGCGAGGGATGCATTTATTTGCGATGCTACCCCGAATCGTACGCTTTCAGCTTTTTCAAAACCACAGGAGCGGTGTGCAGCCTTTTAAGTAAATATAACTGGGGGGGGAAAAAAAGTTGCCTGCACCTGTATCAAGGCTGTTGTAAGCTGGTGTATTTTTTTCCAGACTTTGGCGATGCCCACTGACATATGTTACCAATTAAACTCAATAAGGCCCACTGTCTGACTACTGGGAACTGTGGCCTGTTAAAAGGTGTTCTGTTAATAAACTAAATCAACCGAATCTCTTTTCGTGGGGCAAAACGTGCTGTGAATTTAAATGCATCAAATAATACTACTGTATTTCCCAGTTGCCGCAACACTACATATCGAATTGGCACCTCTTTGCCGCATAGACAAACGGGGTATAAGAGGATGGTCTTAAGTAACCAGAGAGACGCGTTGAGGCATCTGTTTTAAGAAAAGGACAAGTTCAGTGACATTCGGCAAAATCAGTCTGAATCTACACATGTTGCAGAGAGCGAAAACCCTTCTTTATTGGAGAGAAACAGCTTCCAACAGGAGCAGTGTTTGCCTCGTTAATCCCGTCCCCCGCAACACTGTCAGTGTGAGATGTTTCTCTTCCATTTCTCGTATGATATGGAAACAGACGAAGCTGTTTCTTGTATTCAAACGCAGCAGCGCTTAACGGGAGCACAACATAAACAGACGTGAAAAGTAACCCAAAACTTCCCAGTGGCTGCGAGGGGTGGATTTTCCTGCGAGCGTCCGTGGACAAAAAAAAGGAAATGCAATAACTGAAGGCATTTTGGATAACACCAAGACTCGCTGCCTTTCGGTCCCAGTTCCACACATTAGACAGATTGTACTCTTCAAGTCTTAAACTCTATTCAAACACGGGCTGATCTTTTCTCGGGGTTTCGGGGACGTGGGGGGGGGGGGGGACCATGTAAAATACCCGAAGATAAATTTTATTTTGAAGCTCATCTTTAAAAGGTGTCTGGTTAATTTAATTTAAGTTAATTTCAAAAGATCCCATATAAAGAACAGTAGCTAACAGTGAGAGGGTGTTTGTGGTGGTCCATGTGGAAGGAAGTAGTTTTCTTTTTTTTTGGGGGGGAGGTGGGGGTATCCGGATGCAGGATAAACTACGATTCAGTGAATACCCTGGAAAATTGGAGCGAAAGAAAACTCTGCGGATAAAATGTCACATAAACCCGGTCTCCTGTACTCACCCCCCAAAAAGGAACCCTTCATTTGACCAGAAAAACGTTTGAAAACAAAATTGAATTACCTTGCCTGAAACTTTCTCTTTTTTAATTTCAAAGTAGTCAAGCAGGGTGATCTGTTTGTGTGTGTCTGTGTGTGTCTGTATCTGTGTCTGTATCTGTGTGTGTGTGTCTGTGTTTGTGTGTGTCAGTGTGTGTGTGTCTGTGTGTGTGTCTGTGTGTTTGTGTGTGTGTTTGTGTGTGTGTGTGTCTGTGTGTGTGTCTGTGTGTTTGTGTGTGTGTTTGTGTGTGTGTGTGTGTGTCTGTGTGTTTGTGTGTGTCTGTGTGTGTGTGTCTGTGTGTGTGTGTGTGTGTGTCAGTGTGTGTGTGTCTGTGTGTGTCTGTGTTTGTGTGTCTGTGTGTGTGTGTGTCTGTGTGTTTGTCTGTGTCTGTGTGTGTGTGTGTCAGTGTGTGTGTGTTTGTGTGTGTGTGTGTGTCAGTGTGTGTGTGTGTGTCTGTGTGTGTGTGTGTGTCTGTGTGTGTGTGTGTGTGTGTTAAATGCTTCATCAAAACTCCGCTTGTCACTGGGGTTTAATTAGAGGAAGCGAGGAGCGGAATTGGGAGCTGCAGGTTCAATGGTGTGAAATACAGAGAGATCCTTTATGATGACTGCGTTTGCCTTCGCTCCACCCCGAAATTGTTCCTATTCACATCCACAAGCCTTCATTAAGGTTTCCAAGCCATTTCTTTTGCTGTGCCAGGGAAAACTGAGTCCGTTTTGTCCTTCCTCCCCAAACCCTACAAGTTCGGTGAATGTGTGGATTCTGTGTGTGAGCGACTCTCTTTATATGCGAAGTTGCTTTGGAGATCACAGGTCTGCAGCGCGGCGCTGGGCGTTTCTCTCTGAACGACTCAAACGAAGGCAATGGCAATTTCTGAAAATTTATTACTCATCAAGAGGCCAAAGAACGGAAAGATGTTGCACAGCTTGTAATGCAAACAGATTTTTTAAAAAAAACCCCGACCCGTAGAGAATATTTCCTTCAACGTGCATTTCAAAATAAAAAAAAATTTTACACACACACAGGAACGCATACAAACGTGTCGCCTTCCCACAATCTCCATTAAAATGCATCCACCCACATCACACAATCAGAGGTCCCAATTAAAAGCAGACTGAAGGAAAAGAATAATCCAATCCTTTTAACATGATTCGTGTTATATTATCCCATACGAAGGTTCAAACTCACAGTCACACGAAAATAAAATCAGCCCATTCCGATTCGTTCAATTGCAGATTGCTCAAACCATTTATATTCTTCATTTGAGCTGAGCTTGAATTGCAATTCTACCACCACCCCATTGCATCCAGCGTTTCGGGAACGTTAAGAGTTAAAGAGCACACATTCGGGTCCCTCGTGGCCTTCGTGGTCCCGAACTGTGTCGGGACCTGAAACTCAGGCGTTTGGATTGGTCTTCATGAGCTCAATGTCAGCGCCCACCATCTCCTCCACCAGCTCCTGCACACAAGCAAAGCGCCATCAGCTCGACCCCAGTCATTCACAGCCACAACAGCCCCAGTCTGCAAACCAGCACCGAGCAGTGCACACACTACACTACACTACACACACGCACAGAGCCACAGAGGGCACCAAACGTGACCAAAAAAAATAATACACACATATAGCAATCGCAGGCTATAACCACTGTTTGGAGTGCTCACATATGTCGCGCTTATCCATCCTTCCTCGCTGGATAATACGTTTAGAAAATTCCCCCCCAAAAAGTGAAACTAAATGATGGGGCGAACTGGTGAGTGAGTGAGTGAGTGAGAGAGAGAGTGAGTGAGTGAGGAGGGAGAGTCTGCTCTGCCCGGGGGCTCCAGGGCTACTCGCCACGTACGTGTTTCGCACAGCTCCACACACTGTTTGGGGAGTGGGGGGGTTGAACTTTCGAGCAATTTCATTTGCGTTGTTGCTCTTAACGCCCGGGAGTGATACTCACGTCAAATGTAACTTTTGGTTTCCATCCCAGCTTCTGCAGAGCTTTGGTGCTGTCTCCTTGGAGAAAATCCTGCAGAAAAAACAAATACAGGTCACCGTCAATTGCACTGCCTAATAGTTTGGATTTTTTTTTGCACACACACACACACACACACACACACACACACACACGCAGAATATCGTTGTATTTTAATGAACAGCCCCATAGCAGCTCAACTTGTGCTTGCAAAACGGTTCTCTCAACAAACTCCCACAAAGAGCTGAATGAGGGTAACTGAGCCCCATGGCAGCCTCATTCATTCACTCACTCCCTCCCTCCCTCCCTCCCTCCTTCTCTCCCTCCTTCTCTGGTTAAGGTCAGAGGTAACCCAGGGGTCGAGTTAATGACAGGTATCATCCTGAACTCATCCCCCTCTGTCGCTCACACTTGCCAAGCCAAGAGCCAAGTTTTGATCCCCAGCCACTTGACTTTATTTTGTCTTCGAGCTAATGCATGCAAATTCAACATCAACAAACACCCAGTCAAAAGCTACCCTTCTTCCAATTATTATTCCGCGTGTTATTTCTCGGAGAACCCACGTGCAAATAAGACAAAAAAAAGGGTCGCTTTGGGCAGAAAGCAATATTTTTAGGTGAGCGCGTTTTTTTTAAAAAAATCGGCCGCACAATTACAGTTTGTGTTTTAACGGGAGCTGGGAGCTACGAGAAACGCTTCAGAAATACTGAGTCCGCTGAGGGAGTAAGATACACGTCGCTGCACGGAGCAAGGCAAAGCAGTGTGCTGACTGCTACAGAACCTTGTCCGTGATCTGAATTTATTTCACTGCAGTCGGTATTGCAGTAAAAACCCTGACTTCCAAATCCCGGATTAACTGCACACACACAGCCCCGGACTGTGTGTTGGCAAGTTTATTAGACTGCAAGGAGCACCATAACCTAAGACTAATCCGATCCTCACCGACTTCCACACATTAGTTATTGGCGGTATCACTAGATAACGATCAGCAGGAGGAAATCCGTCTGATTTTCCCCTCCCCGCTCAGGGGTTCTGAGGGCAATTGCTGTGCCCCAAGCTTTAACACTTTTGCCCACAAAATACCCAGCCAATTCACTTTACAGTATATTCGTGAAGCGCTTTGAGACGTCGCAACGACATGATAAGGCTTTATATCAAATGCAAGGATTATTATTATTGTTTATTAATACTGGGTGAGATCCGATAACTCAGCGCAGGCAGAAGATTGCATTTGGGCACCTCCTGATTTGCATGGCTCGATGAGGAACCTCCTAGTTTTAATCATACAATCAAGACTCAGAAATAGAGTCAGCTACTTTTTATCACTTGGTTCCAGGACCTTTATTTACTGAAAGTGTCCGCCATCTGCTTGCAAAACAAATACCGATTTGTAGTTTCTAAATGCTCCCCACACCCCACCCCAATTTATTCACTCAGCTCTTGTGATGTATCCATACATAAAAATGGTACAAAATAATGGGTTATTAATTAAATCCTAGGAAAACGCATGGATTCCAATTCTGCCTGCTGGTTTGCCACATTAACTGTGCCTCAAAGAAATTTACAATTCATTTTGAGGTGTGAGATATACAACATTCAAGTGACTAAATATATTGCAGAGGTAGAGTGATAGGGCAGAAGTTCAACTACTTGCCATATAACCCTAAACCCCACTATGTCTTTTACAGGATTAATTTATATACAGATCACTTGCCATAATGCTAAACTATCACATAATCAAAACAGAAGTCACTGGGAACACTCAGCAGGTCAGGCAGCATCTATGGAGAGAGGAAAGTGGTTTACGTTTCAGGTCGATGATATTTCGTTAGACGGACTATACTGAGCTATCTTTTAGATAAGAAAACATATATTCAGGGTACCCAGGAGTTATCCAATCAGGAACCAGCAACCGAGGAGATAAGATGATACATTTGAGGCAGACAGAAGGTAACAAGGTTTGTTTCTCACAAGGTAGGTGATCTGGAATGCACCATCACTGTCAACGTATTGCCCAATGTCAGGCTGTCATTTAAGAAGGTTTTAAAGCTGTGCAATTATATTTGTTTGTGTACCTACACACACACCCACATACACACCTATATACAAACATATGTATATTCATCTGTAATTAAGTACCTCAGAGGAGCATATACTGAATGAGGTCAACTCAGGCCATTGCTTAGGTGTTTATCAGTGTGTGGGAGGTGATTTTTTGTTCACAACCCAATTAGAAAAACTATGCTTATTGCTATTGTGCAATGTGTTAGTAATTCAAGAAGAAGAGCGTTAATTACAATGATTGCTGAGGTTGCTGTACGTGCCGGAATCCAGGTAATTATTTTGCTATCACTATGACAACAGTTACCTCACCAATCACACTACAAGTTACAGGTGATCATAAGGAAATTGCAGATGAAATCATGCTACAGGTTGCTACTAGCTCTTTTTAACTGATAAAACCATCGACTATATAGACCAATTATCTTGTGTAGCCAGCAGTCAGCTGTACCATCTAGGAGGCATAACAGTCACAAGTTGAATGGTTGATTTATCTGGAGGATTTTTGGCCAGCATACTGGGAGGAAACTCCATTCTTTTTCTCCAACTAAAAACTACACAGTCACCACAATTCACAGTAAATCATGCAAATCACTTTGAGACATCTTGATGATATGATAAGGCACTATATTAAATGTAAGGATTATTATTAATTGTAATAATAGGGTCAAGGGATCTTTAATATCTATCTGAATTCAGATTAATGCTTCAGTCTCTTCTTCCCTTCCCCAAGAGTTAACCCAGTTGATCAGTTGAAGTCCTGATGTGGGCTTGAACCTACAATCTTTTGACCCAGCGGTGAGAGTACCACCCTCACCTTGTTGAAATCAGTTCAATAAATTTTCTCACTCTGTGACTCACATTTCATGGAAGACATTGCCTTGACTAACAGAGCCCCACGGAGAGTTAGCTGGTCATTTTGAGGAGTTATAACTTACAATGGATTCTCCATGTATTCTATGTTTTGCTGGTGTTAAATATAATCTTGAGTTGTTGAAAAAATATGAACACTCAGAATGTCCTCAGAATAAACGCTGATATTAAATGTGACCGACAGATTACTAGTTTACACACCAACATTTGTTGTTGTTGCTAAATCAGAATGAGCAAAAAGAGAAAAGGATCTTATATAACCAACATTCAGTGTTAGGCCCAGCTCCCCAAATAATATGGTTCCAAACTAGATTTGCCAGCCAGTTTTCTGACAGAAACAGAAATGTATTCAAGTTACCTGTTGTTCAGGTTGGATGGGATTGGCTAACAGAATTGGGAGCTGTTGCAACGATAGACATAATCCACCCCTTAAAGTTGTGTGATCATTGGAGAAAACAGTGTAAGCACAGTACAACAGGGAGGCAAAACAGGGATTTTCCATACTTAAGAATGTCAAAGGAGCTGGCAATATTGTTAAATCTCCCAGCACTCAAATTGACATCTTGACAGATACCACCGAGTTCTCCAGACTGTGTTTATGCATTTGCCTAAGTAGGTTCTCTCCACGGCAGATCTGTTGATTCTACACATATAAAGAAGATTGGTTTTCACAATACGGCACTCCATAATGGAATGGTGCTTCGGTTTAACGTACACCATTTCTCCTGTTACAGCTACTAAGCATACAAAACTTCTATTTAGTGGACAATTATTTGAAAAAGAGAAACATCGTGATACCACCAACACAATGTACAATGTAAAGCTGCCTACCAAGATAAGCACTCTGAACAATTGCATTTGGTAAAATATTTATGTTTAAAAGTGCCACCACCAGCACCCACATTAAATATCAAATTACAAAAAAAATTATTAATTTGACTTCCTTTTCTTTCTTTCTGATAATACTTTAGGTGGTATTTTTGCTTAAAATTGAGCAATTATCACATCATTGAGTAAAGAGGCTTATGTTACAAGGCTGGCAGTATTGAAGCATTTGAATGGCTGAATTGCCCCATATCACCAGTGTACGTACACAAAAGGATATTTAGGTTGCAGTGGAATAATGACCCAGTTTTAAAACAAAGCATGAGTCAGCCCTGATGGTGTAGTTGAATGAGCTGCAGTTTATGAACTGGAGCTCGCTGGGTCAAATCTTGGTGTATGTTGAATTTGCTGGTTTTGGCTGGTGCGATTAAATTAGCCTTGGCCTTATTTATGGTACAGAAAACTAGGGTTTTCAGGGTTCCTGTTACTTGTCCTTCTATAGCACCCTCTACTGGGGAAGTGTGCATGTGTGACCAGGTGAAAAGAGGTCAGACTCGGTTGTGATTTCCTCTATTGTGGAATGACTGGTAAAACAACAATTTGCATTCACTGACACGGCTCACACATGAACAAAGGCCACTTGGTGGGGTACTGGAAGGCAACTGGTGCTTGTGGAACCTCAACTAGTATGAAGGGCTTCGGGACTAGGAAGAGAGGCTTGTGCCAAATGGGAAGAAAATTAAAAAAATAATGGGACATACAAAAACTAAAAGAAATTCAAGAAACACTTTGCACCAAGACTTCCGTGAATTTACGCGGGTGAAGGTGAACAAAGAGACGATTTTATGTCCCAGTATGGGCCAGTGGTCAATGGCAAAGCAGCAATCAGAGCGATACAGTCAAAGGGAAACTGATACTGTAAACAAGTAGGTGATTTCTCCTGGCATAGCTAATCCTGTTACACAACAGTAGTATATGTCCTGGCACAACTGCTTCTGTTTCACACTGGTCGTATGGTATGTCCTACTGCAACTGATTCTATTACTCACCAATTGCATGGTAAGTCCTAGCAAAAGTGAACCTATTACACACCAGAAGTTTTGTAATATCCTCACACAAAGTATCCCATTACACACCATAGATTTGCAAACAACTTGTTTTGTGTGTGACAACCTATTGTACATTATGGTATTTTGGTTTGCTTGTTGTTTACTATCTTCTGATACACATCGTGATTACAGTTATCCTGCAATCCACAATTAGACCTCAACCTACATTCAGGAAATTGTCAATTC